ATTTATAGTTTATTCATAGTTATAGTTTATTTTAGTTTTCCGCTTAGTTTTGTTTTTAGATTATTCGTGAGTTTTTTAGTTTTATTTTTGTTTTACATTTACTTTTATTTGTCACAGCTTAATTAATTTTAGTTTACCTTTTTTATTTAGTTTAGTTGGTTTGTAGTTCATTTTTAGTTCATTTTTAGGTATATTAGCCACATGCGGTTGCTCTTGGAGTTAAAATCTTTACCAGTTTACTTTACCTTCAATTGGTTAGTTTGGTTTACTTAACTTATTTTTGCTTTTCTTTATTTTTTAGTTCATTGTTTTGTTTCATTAGTTTTATTTTAGATTTAGATTAATTCTTAGTTAAGTTAGTTTGGCTTATTTTAGTTTAGCTTTCTTGAGCTAGTTTACTTCAGTTTAAGCTTAGCGTTTCGGTTTGGTATTTTATTTTTTTATTATTTTTATTTTTTACTTAACTTTCCTTTAGACTCGGAAATTGGTAGTTCTCTGCGTTGTTCCAAAAAGTTGGGCAGTTCCCAAAAGTTGCGCATTTTCACAGTTTATTTATGGCGCGCTTTTTGTTGCCAAACTTTGGATTATTTCAATAATTATTCCTATTTGTTGCTACTTTTATATGCTCTACCTTTTTGATTATTGTGTTTCTTTCGATGATATGTCCCACCCTTATTGCCACCTGTCCCGTATTAAAGAAGGATGGGTTTTCGCGCGCTGTAGCGTAACCTAAATAAAACTCTTACTGTGGAAATATTAAGTAAACCAGTTAAGTTTCTGTACGCTGTCTATGTTATAAGTTCTTTTTTCAATCTATTGTTCCATGATCAAGTAACTTAATCATTTTAAAAAATGCCTTGTGGACGTACTATTGTGGGCTGGGGACCGTGACACCTTGAATAAACACAAGCTGTGTTAATCAACATAAATCCTCTTGTAAATTTTTAAAATAAACGGTACATAGCAAATCGATGGAGATGCAACTGAATATGTTAATCGACAAAGTAAACAAGTCGAAAAAATACCAGAATTAAAAGCAACGTAACAAGACCGTAAAAGACTTGAAACAAAAGACAGAAAAAAATTAGACAGAGTCAATTTTGGGAGCCAGCGCCGTGCCCGTTCCGCTTTTGAGGTCTGAACGCAGAGTAGCGTAGGTCTGCCTTGGTTCAGTTGATTCCAATTTCAGCAACTCCTCCGGCGAGAGGTCGCATTCAACGCCGCTTAGTCGCCGGAATACAGTGGCGACCACTCTGGCAGTGTAGATCTTGGAGGTAGCCACCGCGTTCAGCAAGTTGGCAAATCCCAAATAACGGCCCTTTTCCTCGTGGAAGTTCACTTCAATGGTCCGGTAGCCCATGGGGCAGAGGTTGCATCTGGGGTCTGACGGATCCAGTAAGACGATTCGACAATGGCAGAAGCTCTCGATCCGAATTAGCCGCCGGCTCTTGAAGTAGGTGGCAATCACAGGATCAAAATCATCTGGCACGTAGTAGATCTGCCGGATCACCCGGCCTGTGTGTAGGCGCTGGCAGTGGAATGGGAATGAAACAACAGGAGTAAATTAAATGTTGTCTTTTGTAACGGCACGCTTTATTTGGAAACAAACAGCCTAAATGACGAATCATTGTTGCGCTATTGATGCCCAACAAGTGAGGCATGATTCCTGGTGGGAACTTGTTGAAGGCTGACCTTGACGCGCCCACGTAAAGTAGCTTACTCGGCGGAGATGCAGGTACGATTATCGTTCCGTTGAAGGGACGCTCGATCGCATAACTGAACAGATCGACAGTTTTAAAGCCACCAGTAAGATCAATGAGAGATGAACCCGTAGTGGCCAATCAACTGCAAGGCTGACTCCCACATGACCCCACTCTGACAACTGCCATGCTCACACACTTCGGACGCTGTCCCTCTCGGGTGCAGACGCCCGCTCGACGGACAGTCAACTTCCTCCAGCCTATTCTCCACTACCTCTCTACAGCAGATGTTATTCCTTCCACCTGGCGCTTCATTTATTCTTTTCCCACACAGAACCGAGTCTGAAGATTGCAGCGGCTACGGTTT